CAAGATGAGGAGAGCATGTGTGGTTTATTTGAAACAATGCCACAGGATACCCTGACATGAAAACCTCACTGGTTGTGCTTGCAAAATAAGTGTGTGTGTGTGTTAAATTAAATGGAAGTGAACAACTGTGCATGGCAGCATCATTAAAGGCAAAAGGGAATCCTTTTAGTAAGCCTCTAGATAAACAGCTGCAAAATCAGAAGGAGGTTGCTACAAACTTCAGCAAAACCAATGAAACGGTTCTTTTTTCTATCTCGTGTTGCTTTGCAGTTTGCAAAGGTTCTGCCACCATCCACATTTGCAGAATGTTTACTCGGGAGCTTCAGTCGCAGTGAGTTCAGCGGGGTTGTTCCATTAAGTGTATTCCAGCAAACTCTCATTGATGATAATGCATTCTGGAACCCAGGGAAAAAATAAACCCAAAGGAAGCAAAGAGCCAAAGGTAGCCTTTCCAACCCCATCACCTTTGGCCATGCTGATTCAGGTTGATGGGAATTCTAGTCCAAAATATTTGAAGGGCATCAAGTTAGAGGAAGCTGGTAAGAACTCCCCCTTCCTTTTCTAAGTTGCAACAAATTCCACGGAATACTTTAAAGGAGGTGTGATGTTTAGGGATCTGATTGTTAAAGCTCATTTTTTGCACCAAGGTTCAAAAGGCCTCAGGTACTTTTCCCCATGCACTGAAAACAGGAAAACCTAACTCTACTGGGTCTCTGCTCTTTCTCACAGGATAAACAGCCAGCTCATTTTCCAAACCATCTCATCTGGGGGCTAGCAGCCTGTATGCCTGAAACCAATGGGCAGGATAGATGGCACAGAAGCAGATTATGGTTAACCACTAGGATTAACTTCCTAAGAGCTGTTTTTCATGGTGGCGATGGGCTTCCCTTCACTGGAGGTATAGAAACAGAAGCTCTCAACCATCCATTGGAGTGCTCTGATTGCACGATGTCTACAGCAAGCAGGGAGCTGGATGAAGCAATCTTCCGATCCTTTCCAAATTCAACTGTATGGAGTTCATAAAGCCAGAGAGTGTCTCTGTCTCAGAGACAAACCCAGCATGAAGGGTGGCCAGGGGTTTGTCTATGGGAGGCTCCAAGAAGAAATAGCACCTCAATTTGAGGAGGGGCTGGCAATTAGAATTTCCTTGATTTTCTATGCACACATGCTCACAAGCACACAGATTATTGGTATTCCAGGCGTACTTACTTGGAAATAAGCCTCTGAGACTCATTAGGGCTTGTACAGGACACAACAGTAGCCTATGAAGACACCCATATTTGACTGTACCGTTGCCCAGAACCTGCAACAGTAGTCAAATTTGATCAAATTTTTCAGCAGCTGAAATTCAGCTCATGCCATGCCCAGTTAGTAGACTCTGAAGTGAAGCAGAAGATTCAGGATCTAAATTCATGATTCTTTCATTTAATGTTTCCAGACTGACTACTTCATTCAGGTCTTTCTCCCTGATAAGAAATGTTCCATTTTTGTCTTTAACCTTGTAGGATCAGACCAAGGCACCTGCCTGCAAGAGTAAGCAACTGATAGACCAGAAATTCATGAAGCAAGGTATGAAATAAAAATAACTTATTTGCCAGCAGCATCAGGCAGTCAGAAAGATACATTCCCTCTAATCACAGAGGCTTGGTTTGGCTGGTCACCATGGTTAAGGCTTGTGTGTTGGATTGAAGAGGGGGTCAGGGGACCCACGGGCAAGTGTGTGGGCGGTGGGTGGGCACGTGTGCTTCGTAGCAGGATAGAATTGTTTGATGTTGGAAGGTGAGCAAAACTAGTGCTTGATAAATCAGGTAATGTATCCAGAGTCCTTCTACTGTTTACTAAAAATATAGCCAGACTTCAGAGTGTTTCTACTGTCATGTTGCTTTCATCTTGGGAGTGGGACAGTCGGTCACCTCTCCTGCTTCCAGAACATCCCTGTATCTAATTCACCTGAACTTAAAAGCAACACCAAACCTAGAGCAGATGTTCTTTAAACCAGCACCATGGAACAGCTGGAACATTTTCTCTTGTGTCTGGCAACAGGGCTTTAAGCCCCTTCCTCTTCCCAAATCTCTTCCCCCCACATGGGGGAAGAGCCTTGAAATGTATCTCCCACCAAAAATTATTCCAGGTCTTCTCCATGCTGGGACAGCAGATAAAACATGATAGCCAGTACAGTAGAGAGCTGAGTCCAAAATGGGGAAACCAAGAAAGAGAGACCCCACTTCAAGTCTTCGATGCCTGTATGCCAATCTCTCTATCCTCTTCTGCCCTGCAGTGTTGTCCCCAAAAAGATCCAAGGAGCCCAAAAGTGCTCGGCTGAGACAGAAGTGAGGGGAGTTTTAAAAATGCAATTAGTAAATAAGTGTTTGTGTTGGCCCGCATAACACCAGTATGGATTGAAAAGTGGAATCAACCCATTGCCTTTTCTCAGTACAAGCCTGCAAGGTTTAATCCCTAAAAAGGTAACATTCCCGAAATTTTAGAAAAGCCTCATTGTAACTCGATGCTCTAATCCGTCTTGTCCCCATCCTGCGAGCTGTTGCAGAGACGGGTCACTGTTTTCACTCGCCTACTTCTTATTAGAAGACTTAATAGAAAGCACTTTCCCTTCCGAAGATTTTATTGACAACTCAATCTGTCGACTGTAACAAACCATTTCCGCGTCTCAAGGCATCCTCCCCCACCTCCGTATAACTGCAATACCTGCAAAAGGTCCCCACCTGTCTCGTGCTACAGGGAATGGGAAAGGGAAGAAAATTAACCACACACAAACACACACACACACACAAATACACCCTTAGCCCAAGATTTTGACTGGGGTAATTAGGCCTTCTTTTTTATATGCAATATTTGGAGTTAGAGTTATAGTTTCAGAGTGCCTTTTGCAAATAAAAAAATGTATTCCATGACCAGAGCAACAAGGCAATATCTGAATTTTGTGAGTTACCAGATTTCAGAGCAAGGTCTGTATCATGGGGGTTTTTGTTTTGTTTTCTAACCCCTTTCCTTTCAAATGCAATTCTCCATACCTTATAACTCAAAACACTGCAGAAAAATAGTTCCCCGTTCCATTTTTCAAGAGGCTGAGGAAAACAATCCCTGCTCAGCGACAGACATATACACGTCCAGAACAAAGACGCTTCTCTGATTGCAAAGTGGTGTGTGGAGGATTGTATTTTTATTTTGCTCAACTCCCATTTCATCCAATTCATTTCCCGCTCAGATTATCCAAAGCTGTGGAGTAAGGTAAAACGTGCAGGTTTTATTTGCAATTCTGTAACATACACAGACACACAAAATGCCATTCATTGCACACCCACACGAAAAGCAAATGATAGTTCTATGTTTCCCACCTCCCTTAAAATTAAATGGATGCATTTTTTTCAATTAAATATGTAAAACAAAATAAAATAAAGATATTGTCTCAGAAAGTGCCAAGTTAAATCTTTGCAAAGAAAGATGTTATCTGCTAACAATGTCCTTTTTTTAACCACGGTGGGGGTTGGGGACAGGGGAGGTAATATTACATATAAGCTAGACCCTTCTTTTCCTTTGGGTAGTTGCATCCTAAATATGAAACGGTTACAGGGCTGGACGGACTTAACTGAGCTGCAGGAGCAAACTGAAACAGCCAGACATAAAATAGAATTCAGAACCCAAATCCCCCGGTGAAAAGTTCACCTCATTCCTTAGAATTTAAAAAAAAAAAAACATAAATGCAATATTTAATTATCTGATTGTCAAAGCACTGCTGCTGTCATCAGGTTTGTTTGCTTACACTGAAATTACAGGCATTAAAGTATTTCAAGTGAAGTTTTACATGAACATTAAATCAGGCTCCCAGTTTTCCAAAGCAGGTTGGTTGCACCCACCTCGCCCCCGCTCAACATTTGCTCTGCCTTTCTTTATGTTCCCTTTTGCTCCCTCTGTCCCTCTTCAACTGATGAGGTAGAAAAAGAACTCTTATTGCCCGGGGAGGCTGCGGACTCCTCGGGCAGTGGGCATCCACAGTGGTCGCAGCCCCTCCTTGGGCTTGATCGGAGCTCTCCGTGGTGCTGAACCCAGCCTCAGACTAGGTTCCTCCGCATGGGGCACCAGGACCCTTTCCTACGAAGCACAGAAGAAAAGCCCCAGTGGGTGAGGAGCCCCACCGACCCAGAGGGATCATCAGCCTATTGCAAACAAGGAGATGGGTTTTTGTTGTGGGAGGAGGAGGAAGAGGAGGAAGGCAGGAAGCGAAAGAGCTGAAGTTAAGGTGAGGATGGAGGGAGAGAGAATTAAGCCAAAGGTGGTCTTTGTGTCTAGAACCAAAGGAGAGGCGTGGGGGGATTGGAAGGCTGAAGAACACAGTTGCGGTGGGAAATATATATATAAATTCTCTCTCTCCCCCCCCCCCGTCTCTTAAAAAGAGCTTTTGAAACTCAAACGGAAAGAGGGATTTCCCCCACCCCAGTTTCAAGCTTCCTCTCTCTCCCCCTCTCTTCTTTCTTCTTCATTACATCGACGAAATGATAAAGTCCTTCTTAACACATACACCCTTTTTTAGCTAGAAAGAAAAGAAAACAAGCCTGAGGTTGGGGCGGGTGGGGGACGGGGAGGAAAGAAAAAGGCTCAGCTTATTCACTCACCGGGACTATGGTACAGTAGCATAATGTTTGATTTCCTCCTGAATATTTTGTTTCATCATTATTATTCGCACTGTTCTTTTACTTAGAAAACAAGCGTCTTGGTGCTCAGTTCTTTGCTCCCCCCCCCACCCGTTCCCACTCGGCGGGGAGGGGTGGGGGGAGTCCAGTCTGCCTGCGGGGCGGGGGCGAGCGAGCAGCGAGGGGACGGCGCTGCCTCCGGGATCCGTCGCGCTTGGTCCGCCACCGTCGCCCGCCCGCCCTCTCGTCCGTCGGTCCGCCCCGTCGGTCCCGGGCGGCCTCCTCCGCTCTCCGCCGCGCAGCGCGCCCGGCGCCCGCCCGTCCCGTCCCGTCCCCGCGCGTCCGCGCCGCTCAATAAGCGGCGGAGAATTTCATGCGCTTCTGCTTCTGTCTCTGGTTGCAAAACCAGACCCGCACCACGTTCTTCTTGAGGTCGAGCTTCTCGGCGATGGCGGCGATCTTCTCCGACGAGGGCCGCGGCTGGACGGCGAAGTAGGCTTCGAGCGAGCGCTTCTCGGGCGCGGCGATGGACGTGCGCTTGCGCTTCTTGTCGCCCGCCGAGTAGACCTCGGGCTTGGCCATCTTCTCGCGCTGCGCCCGCTCGGCCTCCTCCAGCCAGGCCTCCAGGATGGGCTTGAGGGCCACCATGTTGTTGTGCGACAGCGTGAGCGACTCGAAGCGGCAGATGGTGCTCTGGCTCAGGCAGCCCACGCCGGGGATCTTGAGGTTGGCCAGCGCCGAGCCCACGTCGGCCTGCGTCACGCCCAGCTTGATGCGCCTCTGCTTGAAGCGCTCCGCGAAGGACTCCAGCTCGCGCGGGTCCGTCTCGGCCTCCGGGCCGCCGCCGCCGCCGCCGCCCGCGGCCAGGACCGTGTGCGAGGCCAGCCCGTGCGCCGGGTGGTGGCCCATGGGCATGGGCGGCTGCCCGTGCGCCGGCGGGCCCATGGCGTTGAGCGCCGGCAGGTGCGGGTGCGCGTGCGCGTGCGGGTGCGGGTGCGCGGGCGCGGCGCCCACGTCGGGCAGCGGCAGGGCGGAGCTGAGGTGCTCCAGGAGCTCTCCGTCCAGGCCCTGCGCCGGCTGGTGGTGCGCGTGGTGCGCGTGGTGCGCGTGCGCGTGGTGGCCCGCCAGCACCGACGGGTGGTGCAGGTGCACGGAGGACGAGGTGGGCGTGCAGGCCACCGAGACGCTGCTCATCGTGTGGTACGTGGCGTCCGGCTTGAACGGGTGGCTCTTCTGCGGCACGATGTCCACCGCCGCCAGCGCCTCGGCCCCGCGCAGCAGCGTCTCATCCAGGCCGGCGAAGAAGTTGCTTTGCAGCTGCGGGGGAGAGAGAAAGGAGGAGGAGGAGGAAGAGGAGGACGCGCCGTCCGAAGGCAGAGCAGGGCAGACGCTCGGGGAAACGGCCACCTTCTCCAAAACCACAGCGCTCCCCTCCCCGCGCTCCCTTTCCTTCCAAAGACACGCGGAGAATTGCTACGTCGGGACAAGAGAAATGGGGCCTTCTCTGGGGCTGCCCCAGATTGTGCAAGAACCCCTTTCCTCGGAAGGAGCGGTTGCCCCTTCCGCTCGCCTTTCTCTTTCCCAGCTTTTTGCCAAAGCGGGTCAGGAAGACGTCGCCTGGGTCAGCTGGAGAAGTTTGGCGCTGGATTTCACGCCGTGCTTCTGGCTTATCTGCTACACCCGTCTCCTTTCGTGAAACTGTTTCGCGGTTGGCTTTCTCATTCTCCCTCTTTCCCATGGGTACATGTTTAAGCACGAGAAAGGCGAGGTGGGCATATTTCACCATCGTTTTCTTCTTGGAACCAAAGGGAAAAATGAAGTCCGTGATATTGTACCGCAACTTTCAGAATCTCTCGACCATGAAGGGTAGGACGCGCAGGGGGCAGGGATCCGGCGCCGGCACATTCCTCGGACCCGCCGCCCAGCAAAGGGGCCAAGTTCTTCCACCTCCCTTACTCGTGCTGATATCTGAGGATCCCCATCGCCCCAAAATCCTCCCCCTCCCCCTCCTTCCCTGGAATGCCGACCTATACTTTTGCCGGGCTCCCTCGCAGAAACGGTGCGACGGCGCAGGATCGGGGCCCCCGGTCGGGCTGCGGGGGGCGGGGGGCTCGCCGTGCCGTCCCGTCCCGTCCGAGCAGCGGGAGCCACCGTCGCCCGCCCGCCCGGCGCCCCGCGCCGCCTCCCCCGCTGGCCGGGCCGGCGCCCGTCTTACCTGGGGGGCGGGCAGGCAAGCCCTGCGGATGGCCTCGGAGCTGGAGTGCAGGTGCGCGTACTTGGGCTCGTGCAGGATCGGGTGCATGCTGAACGCCTGCTTGCTGTTCATGGACATCATGGTGGCGGCGGAGGCGCGGACGGGCAGGCGGCGCTGCACCCGGCTCGCCTTATTGTCTCTGCGCGCCGCGCGGCACCATCAAGGACATTATAGGGCCGCCCCGGCCCCGCCCGCCCGGCGGGCCGCCGCCTCATTGGCCGCGGCCAGCGCGCGCCCCGCCCCTCTCCCTTTCCCTTTCCCTTTCCCGGCCCCGCGCCGCCGAAGGCCGTCGCCCCCCGGCCGTCGGGGCGCCCGCTGCAGGCGGGGGGCGCGCGGGGGGCGCCCGTGCGCGCTGGGGAACTTCGCGGAGCCGCCCCGGGAGGCGGGCGGCGGAGCCCTCCGCGGGCGGCCGCGGGCGCGCTGCGATGCGCCTCGGCCCAGCCCTGGCGCGCCGGGGTCTCCGCGCTCCCCGCCCCGTCCGGTGCAGCTTCCCCGGGGGCAGCCGGCGCGGTGTGGCGGCTGGGGTGGGACAGAGGGGCTGGGAGACGCGGGCCGTGGCCTCTGCCCGGCCGTGAAGCTCACTGGGTGATGGAGGCCGCCGTGCGTTCCCAGCCTGTCCCCCCGCCCCCCCCCCCCGCAGGGTTGGTGTGAGATAAAACGGAGTGGAGGCGGGCTGGGCAAGCCGTCTTGGATTCTTCACCGGGGTGGGGAGGAGGGAGGCGGGATCGAAATTCAAAATTTGTTGTTGTTCAGGCGCAAAGTTGGGTCCGACTCCTCGCGACCCCACGGCCAATATTCCTGCAGGCTCTCCTCTCCTCCACCATCCCTCGGAGTCCACCCAAGCCCACACCCACCATCCGGCCACCTCAGCCTCTTACCATCCCCTTCTCCTTTTGCCTTCCATCGTTCCCAGCATCAGGCTCTTCTCCAGTGAGTCCCTCCTTCTCAGGTGGCCAAAGTATTTGAGTTTCATCTTCAGTACCTGGCCTTCTAAAGAGCAGTCAGGGTTGATTTCCTTTAAGATTGACTGATTTGATCTCTTTGCCATCCGAGGAACTCTCAGGAGTCTTCTCCAGCACCGCAATTCGAACACATCAGTTCTTCGGTGCTCAGGAATGCAAAATAGTAACCATAACATAAACAGGCTCACAGTTGTGCAACTTACGCACGGAGGGCAGCGTGCAGAACCATGGATTGCTGCGCCTATAAAGCTCAGAAAAGAGGAAGCAGAGTCCCGGTCGCCTCTGGCAGTCAGCAGCCTGCCCCCTCCCCGTGTTCCCTGACAGGAGGATGAACTCAGGAACATCCCCCCCCCCCCCGTCTCCTGCCCAGTGAGAAATGTATTTAGATGCAGCAGCAAAAATGCTTTCATTAGGACTAACCAAAAATGGTACCCAAAGATATTTCCCTACTCTCGCTATAGTTCCTCCCCGATACATCAGCCCGTGGAGTTTCGTGTGTCTGTTGACATTCCGGCTGTCTCCCTTTAGGGGGGAAAGACCAGCAATTGATTTCCTTGCTCATCTTTCTTCACTTCTCCAAATAAATTATTTCAGTATTTCTCCATCGACTGGGGGGCTGGAAATGCAATCGCTGCATCTGCCAGATGGGTTAGTGAGAACCGCTGGCCAAAGAAAGGATAATAAAATACCATGTGTGAAGTCAAGAGGTGGGTCACTGCCTTGCATGCACATTTAAGTTGTGCTTGTATTGTTTTTCGAACTGTATGGAGTTCAACAGGACAGAAGTGGCTGCTCTCTTGTTTCTTTACTCATCTTTAACATGGGGGTTGGACCCAACGGCCTTCTTGGCCCCTTCCAACTCTACTCCTCTGTGATGCTGTGTTGTTATAGTTCTTCAGCCCAATTGTGTAGAGTTAGGTGAGCCTAAGCCCATTGAAATCAATTGCTTTCATCAAGGCTAACTCTTTATAAGATCAGGCTGAATAACTTCATTCAGGCAATGTCATTATTAGAATTATTTATTTGGAAGATACTACATTTCAAGAACAGATGTCTTATCCTCTGCATAAGTTGCATGATATAATAAAATACAGCAGTATCCAGATTCCCTACAGTTTAAATACACAGCATAATTTATCAAATTTTAAAAGATATGTTTAGGTTTATTATGGTACCCAATGGTGATTTAAAATGGATAATTAGCTCTTCACAATACATACACAATACATAATGATATATTATATAGAAGTATACTATATTAGAATCTGCATAGAAAATAAAAACTGTAATAATAAGAATTTGTCATTAATTGTAACATCAATAATAGGATCTAGAAATTATACCTTTGATACCTGATTTTTATTCTCCTACAATGGTAGTTTTAATACAAGCATTGTCAAGAGCTGATGGACTGGGGACTTGGGGAATCCAGGTTCGAATCCCCACTCAGTCATGGAACTCACTGTATCTTCAGGCCACTCACAGATTCTCAGCCCAGCCTACCTCACTGGGTTGTTGTTGGGGGGGGGGTAGAATGGAGCTAGGCAAGCCACTTTGGGTTCCTCACAAGAGGAAAAGAGGCAGAATGTAAATGCAATGTTGCTTTTCTTGTTGTTGTGAGTTTTGGAATCAGTGACGCTATTCAGGTTCACATGCACAGTGGCAACATAAGTTTCAGATGTCTTCTCCCATAGTCACTAACCACTGGCCCTGCTGGCTGCAGCTTGTGGGAGTGTAATCCTCTGTGTGTGTAGAGGAAAGAAGTCACATCTGGAGCTGGAGGACTCTTTTCCATCTGCATGTGCATGGGACTGAGCCCTGGTGCTAAGCCAGGCTGCTTGCCTTGCCAAGTCAGCCTAGGATTGTCCAACTGGTAGCAGTTCTGGTGTCTCAGGATCAGGTCTTTTGCATCACTGGAAAACTTATCTGACCCAGAAGGGCAGCAATTGAACCCGGGGCCTTGTGCATGGACACAATCCACTCCACAGCTTGCAGATGGACTGAAAACCCACACGGCACAGACCTGCACACACTTGGCTCCCATAGATTTCTCCTCCTGCACTTTGAGCTGGATTCTTCCTTCTTATCCTTTCCTGTATTATTTGCAGCTCAGGAATCTTTCAGATGCAGAGGGGCTGTTTTTATGCATTTCATTTCTGCACTGCCAAAGCTCTCTTGGCAGTTTACAGCAATTCCTAGAACAGACCCTTAACACACTAAAACACCATAACATTTTTCCAAAATCCAAAACTGAAAAATAAGTCAGCAGGTAGAGCGGTATTTGCTTTTTTTAATATATCAATAGAGGGCCATCTTAGTCTGGCACTGGAGGGATGACAGAGTTGGTCCCTGGTGAGCCTCAGTAGGAACGTTCATCCACCAGCCCCTGAGCAGTCCCTTCTCCTGGTTGCTGTAAGGCTTTATGGGTTAAAACCAGTCTAAAATGAACAAATGGCAGTGTGGGGTAGTGGTTTAGAGATCTGTGGATCCGGGACCCATGGCTTCTAGTGCCTGCTCAGCCTCAGAGCTCATGGGGTGACTCAGGGCCAGTCCAGACTAACCTACCTCACAGGGTTGTTGTTGAGAGGATAAAATAGAACCTTGGGTCCCTTGCAAGAGGAAAAAGGTGGGGTGTGAAGATAATGGTGGTGGTGATCAGGATGATGATGCAAAGCACCTGACGAAGCTTGAGGGCAGGACTTTGGAGAAGACCTTGAGGGCCTTTCTCAGGAGCAGGAGGCCCCCACCGGCACCGTATTTTGCAGCCTGCAACGCACTTGCCATAGGGAGGGGAACTCCTCATTCAGTGGAGCTTCTGCTTCATTGCAGCATGTTCTTTGAGCATCCCAGGCATCCATGCTTCTGAACTCATCCCCAAAACAAGCCCACCCTACAGAGCCTCATGGATGGCAGCCTTAATGCTCAGAATAGAATCCTCCATGGATGAGCCGTTCTGCTGACCAAGGCATCGGTCTGGCTGCGCCCTGCACGGTCAGCCGTCCGCGAAGGGCCTTGGCGTTCCCCTTCCCTTCCACCACGGCAGCCTGCTCATGCGCCGGCCTCTCCTTCTGGCCCCAGCGCAGGCCTCAGAAGAGGCCAGAGAATCCCCTTGCCTCTCGCTCGCCGGTTCTCCCCGTGCCAAGCCAGCAAGTGGAGCACAGATGAGGGGTGGCAGAGCCGGCGAGAATCCCAGTGAGGGGTCGATGCCCTGGGGGGGGGAGCACAGGGGGTGCTTGCCCAAGAGCCCTCGAACCCCTGGAGCTGGCCTGAAACCCCCCCACCCATTCCGACAAGAAGGAGAGCCATGCCCAGGAGCAGCGTATTCAGCATCAGTGTCCTCCTGGCTGGCCCCTGCTTTGAGCAGCAATGGGAGCTTCAGACAGCCAACTTGCAGGACAGCCTGGGAAGTCTTCCAATTTCCATCTCTCTAGGCAAAAAAGCATCTTTTAAACCCCTCAAGGCTCTGATTATTATAAGAATATCCCTGGACATTAGCGATTAATCAGACCTCTAAAAACATTTATTTAAACACATTCTACTTTTTGTTAAAGGAGAGATCTTAATTAAAAAAAAGCAATTCCCTATTGAAGGTGCAAGCAGGAGGGAAACCGGGGGAGCTGCCTCTTCCCTTGGCATTAACCCTGCTCGGGATTTAAATGAACAACTCTGCGAGTTTCCAAAGTGAGCCCAGCTCCTTCCATTAAGGGATAGGAGTCTTTTAACAGGTCAACCAGGCGGCTAAATGCCCTTCCTTGCCATATCCTGCATTAGGAGGCGGACAGGCGTCCCGACCGTTTCAGCTCTCAGCAGAGGAGAAAAGAGTGCAAGAAAATGAAAAAAGAAACAGAAATTATAGACAGGGCAAAGTGTGTCTCTACTTTTTAATACTAAATTATTTACCATAAGTAAAATCGTGTGTGTCAATTGTGAAAAGAGTCCAATTTGTTTGATTTACATGGTGGGGAGGTGCCCTCGGGTAGGGGGTGTTTAACTAGCTCTTCTAATGTAATTGCCTTTGGCGGCCCGCTAAATATTTTATAGGCTGCCTGTGCAAAAAGTGAGGCTGCCTTATCTGATCTGCAACTGCAGCCCATACTGTGTATAAAATGTATCTGCTTG